CAGGTGTCGCATGTGCGCAAGCTCGAGGCGGACACGGCGCATCTGACGGCGGAGAACGCGCGGCTGTCGCACCATGCCAGCAACGTGGAGCTGCTCAAGGAGGAGAAGCGGACACTCGAGACGCGCGTGCGCACGCTCGATGCGCTGCGCGACGAGCTCGCCTCGGCCGAAGCTGCAGCGGCGGAGCTGCGCGAGCAGCAGCGTAGCTGGGACCAACTACTGCGCATGGGACTGCCCGCTGACGTCGAAGCAGCTTTCGCGGCAGCAGCTAATGTGGATGCGGCGGTGCCGACGATCGAAGCGCCTGCGGTGGTGGACCGTTCGACGCTGCCGGGCTATCTGTCGAGGCTGCAGGGCACTGTATCGGGGCTGAGTGCGCGGTGCGGTGCGTTGACAGCGACGGTGGAGAAGCTGCGTGCGCGAAACGCGAGGCTGGAGGATGAGGCCAAAGACGTGGATGCGCGCGAGCGCAAGGTGCAGCACGAGGTCGACGAGATGCAGACCTCGCTGGCGCGCGCGAGCAAGACCGAGGCGCGGCTGCACGACGAGGTGGAGCGGCTCAAGGCCATGCTGGCGTCGTACGAGCAGGAGGAGAAGACGCACAGCGCGGCGTACGACGGCGCCCACGCGCAGCGCATCGCGCTGCTCGAGGCGGAGCTCGACAAGACACGTGCCGATGCCGCGCGCACGGCCGAGGAGCTGCACACCGTATCGAATGCGCTGGCCCAGCGCGAGGCCAAAGCGGACACCGACTCGGGCTCGGTGCAAGCGCTGGAATCGCTGCAGTCCGAAAAGGCGGCATTGGAGGCCAAGGTTGCAAGTCTAGAGGCCGAGGTGGGTCGACTCGGAAAGGAGGTCGCAGAGGTGGGGCGGGAGAACGAGATGCTGTGGGGCAGGGTCGGACGGGGCGAGTTCGACCAGGAACGTCAGCGGTGTCTTGTGCTTGCGCGAAACCCGGTCTCGCACGAGGTTGAGCTGCGACGCGCCAACCTGGACTCTCTGCGTGCCGAGAATGCCGGCCTGCTCTCTCGGGTGGAAGAACTGTCGAAACTGGCGTCTAGCTCTACGTCAACATCGGGCCAGGCGCTGGTCCCGCAGACGGTGGTGGACAATCTGCGCCACGACCTGGGCGATCTGCAGGCGTCGATGGCGGCCAAGGACAAAGCCATGCTGCGGCTCAAGCAGGTCTTCTCTGCCAAGGCCAACGAGTTCAGAGAAGCGATCCAGTCGCTGTTCGGCTACCGGGTCAAGTTCCTGGAAAACGGAAAGGTGAAGCTCACCTCGACGTTCAACCGATCCTCTGGGTCTACCTCGCTCGTGTTCGAGAGCGAGGACGGCAATGTGGGACGGATGAAGTTGATGGGCGAAGCGGTCAAGTTTCCCGGCATGGTGAATCTACCTGCACTCCGAGAGTACTGGTTGGATCCCAACGGCATCCGACAGTCGGTACCCTGCTTTTTGGCAGCGCTCAATCTGGAGCTCTACGAAAGCTGCACCATGGCCGCCAGGAGACCGCTTACACACGACGAGGATCAAGATTAGCCCACAAGCGCGTGTGGTGTTGCCATTGTATTTGTGCGATGACTCTACCCAAGCTTGTGCAAGCGGGTGGTTTAGAGGAGGTTGAGTTGGTGCTTGCAGAGGAGCGAGATGGATTGGTAGCCTAGCCACTCGGCTTCGTGCGCCAGCTCGGTGAGTCGGCACCGCAGCGTCATGCGCAGCGCGACGAGCGGGCAACCATGATCCTGCCCACACGGCGCGGCGAGGCTAGCGGCATGCAGACGGAAGGGAAGCTTGGAGGATCGCAGCGTGTCGAGAATGTCGGTGTATAGCTCGGGATTTCGATCGACAAAGATGACGGGAGCTTGTGGGTCGTGATGGGGCTCAGAGACGCCACTGGTGCGACGCGTGGAGACGGAATCCGTCTGGGATAGATCGCATGCAAACGTCGACGGCGAGCTCGAGTGCGAACTGCCCGCCGCATCCGTCTCGTCCGCACGCTCTTCCAAGTCCGCTTGGGACTTTTGCCGAGACCGTCCAATGGGGCGTGGTAGCAACAAGCGCGGACAGTCGCCCTCTTCCCCCCGCAGAGTCGAGGCTAGCGTGGTAAACCTCGTCCCGCCGACGTTGAGCTCGACCTTGGCATCGGCTTGCCATGTGTGTGGGGTGAGAGGCAGAGGCGAGTGGGCATACGCATCGAGGATGGACCATGTCGTCAGAGCGGTGGGCGATGTGGGGTTGGACTTTGCCGATTCGAACGACTGGCTGCCCGAGTCGCGCGGCGTCGGAGGCAGCTGCGCCTTGGGAGGCGGCTTCTGCGGCGGCAACGCCGTGCGCTTGATCTCGCTCAGGCTGAATGCCCGACTGCGCTCGATCGGCGGCAGCACAGGCAGAGCCATACTCGGCGGTAGAGGAGACACTAGATCCTCAGCAATGCGCTCGAGCGACTCGACGCCGCGCTGCTCGAGGCGAAGTGTGGTGAGAGAGCGCGATTTGCGCAGACCAGCTTCTTCGACGTACGCAGGAGGAGGACCGTCGATGGTGGTGGTGGAATCGCGGGATCGTCGCAAACGTTCCGGTGGTCGGGGAAGAGCCTTGTTGCGGTCCTTGGCGCTCGAGCCTTTGAGGCTGCGAACCAGGTCCCTCTCGAGCGCCGAGGGTGCGGGTTTAACGTGCTCGAGCTCGGTCGCGCTGGGTCGGTCGCCCACTACCGCCTTGCGTGGTGCACCAACACTAGGCGCGGCGCGCTTGTGGCCAAGGTCGATCGAGGAGGATGCACGGACATGTCGGCGAAACAGGCGCGTCGAACCGAGTGCTGCAAGACGTGCAAACTGCGGCACGGTCGAGAGGCGTGTGGAGAGCGGCTGGTCTTCGTCGTCGGAATCGTCAAACTGGCTCTTGATGGGGTTGGGCGTGTGGACATACTCGACGCCCGACGAGAGTGTACTGCTGCGCCGACGCGACGCACTCGGTGCTACATCCTCGTCCAGCTCGAGCCACGAGGTATGCGGCTCGGCCTCGCTCTCTGCACTCTCTTCGAGAGCGTCGAGGTCGACGCTGCCGAACTCAGAGACACTCCTCAACCCGGACGGTTTGTTCTGATTCGGTGCGGTGCGAGGTCGATCGGCTAGGGTCTGCGACGCGCGCAGCGGGACGGTAGCGCTGCTGGAGGGTGCGAGCGAGGTGTGGCGGGACGCCTTGAGCTGGGGCGAGTGGAAGGTGGGTTTGGGCGGGTTGTACGACTTGTTGCCAGCCGAGAGCGCGGAAAAGCGCAGCGAGAGCGAAGACATTGCGATGGTGGAGCAGAGTCAAGCGCGGGCTGGAGGCAGCGTCTATATTCGAGCCCGAGGGGCATGCAGGTGCTGCAGAGTGTACATGAGACAATGGGCCGACCTCATGAGGCGTTGCAGTCGCGAGCTCGAGCCAGCCGGCCCTTTGTTCATCTCGTGTCGAAACACGGACCGATATTCGCATCACGGACCGAAGCTTGGACGCCGCCCGAAGCGCTTGCATTCGGAGCGAGAGAAGGGCGAGGAGTCGAATGCAAAGCTTTGTTGCGAGGGTGGGGTTTGAAAAGCCCTTTGTTCCAAGGTTGGCAGCTGGCGCGCGTATGTGCTTGGCTGAGAGGGTGGGTTGCAGCAACCACAAGTCACACTGTATCGCACCGGCTGAGCATAGCTGGGGTGTGCGAAGATGCGAAGCTTCATTTGCGCACCGGCTGGGAATCGCCCACACGAGGCTGGTAGCATGACGGCTGGCATTGCCCGCCCAAGCAATGCTCGCCAGCGCACCACGCGCTCCGAGCTGTCAAGTAGCGAATCGAAGAAGCCGAAGCGAAGCGGGCGATGGCAGCTCCGATCGGGCAAGAGAAGAGAGCCAAGCCCGATGCGAGCGATAGCGATGTGTTGCGCGCAGTCGCAGTGTTGGTCTGAGAGCGGCGCCAATTGGCGACGCGTTGGGTGCGCTGCTGGCCGGTTCGGAGGGGCGGCGCAGCGCAGCGCAGCGAGAGGAGAGAGTGGGAATTTTGCCAGCGCATCGGCCTCACCTCAAACGCAGCTTGCCTCCCCACCTTCATCTCGCTCTCGCCCTCTGTCTTGTTCTCTCTAACGCCATGGCGTATCGCAACGGCGCACAGCCCAGCTCGGGCAACTCGCCCCTTCCGCAACAGGCTCGCTCCCTCCCACACGTACAGCAACCCACAAACCAGATGGCCTATGGCGCACAGTACGCCGCACCCATGGGCTACAACATGAACATCCCCAACAACCACGGGCCCCTCGCATACGGATTCAGCGCAGCAGGGCAGGGCGGCTTTGCCCAGAGTCAGGGTGAGTTTCTGCCTTAAGCTCGCTTTCCACCGCACCATCCACTGACTCACCCGCCCTTGGCTGCTTTGACCAGCCTACGCACAACAAGCTCAGTACCAGGCCCAGATCCAACAGGCCGCCATCGCCGCACAGGCTCAGGGCCCCCCTTCCCAGCTACAGCATCCCGCCATGTCCCAGGCCGCACACCTCCAGCAGCAGCAGATCGCTGCCTCCCAGCACAACAACCTCCACGCTCCCAACGCCGCATACCCGCGCGCACAGAGCACCTCCCCCATCAACCGCTCCCCCTCCCCCTCGGCTCGTCCCATCAACAACGCTCCCCGAAGCCCACAGCCCTACGGCCAGGCGCAGACCTACTCCCAGCAGCAGCAACAGCAACAGCAACAGCAACAACAGCAGCAGCAGCAACAGTACTACCAGCAGCAGCAGCAACATGCTCAACAACAACAGCAGCAGCAGCAGCAGCAGCAGTACGCACAGCCAACCACGCCCACCTCACCTAACCCCGCCACCGAAAAGCCCGCAGATTACGTCTACTTTGAGCGCTCCACCAACGGCATGCAGAAATCCACCATCGAGGCGGCTACGGGCGCCAAGCTCAAGCTCGAAAACTTCTACAAGGTGTACGTCGAGCAGGCCGTCGAGCGCATCAAGCGCGCCGCCGAGCTCGAGGACCGCCTCACCAACCCGCCCGACGCACAGCTCCTCTCGGACGAGCGCAAGGCGCGCCAGCTCGCACAGCTCGGCCGCCGCGAGTCCAACTTTCTGCGTCTGCGCAGGACGCGCCTGGGCCTCGACGACTTCCGCACGGTCAAGGTAATCGGCAAGGGCGCGTTCGGCGAGGTGCGCCTCGTCCAAAAGACCGACACCGGCAAGATCTACGCCATGAAGACGCTGCGCAAGAGCGAAATGTTCAAAAAGGACCAGCTGGCGCACGTGCGTGCAGAGAGGGACGTCCTCGCCGAGTCCAACTCGCCCTGGGTCGTACAGCTCTACTACTCGTTCCAGGACACCGCCTATCTCTATCTGCTCATGGAGTTTCTCCCCGGCGGCGACCTCATGACCATGCTCATCAAGTACGACACCTTTAGCGAGGACGTCACGCGCTTCTACATGGCCGAGTGCGTGCTGGCGCTCGAGGGGATCCACAAGCTCGGATTCATCCATCGCGATATCAAGCCGGACAACATCCTCATCGATGCAAAGGGACACATCAAGCTGTCCGACTTTGGCCTCTCGACGGGATTCCACAAGCAGCACGACTCGGCGTACTACCAGCGGCTCTTCGAAGGCACCTCGGGGCAGAACCCGGCCCAGACGGGACGCAACTCGGTCGCGGTCAACTCGATCAACCTTACGCTGAGCTCCAAGGACACGATTGCCACGTGGAAGGCCAACAGGCGCAAGTTGGCCTACTCCACCGTGGGTACGCCGGACTACATTGCGCCCGAGATCTTCCTGCAGCAGGGCTATGGCAACGAGTGCGACTGGTGGAGTCTGGGCGCGATCATGTTCGAGTGTCTCTGTGGCTATCCGCCCTTCTGCTCGGAGAATGCGCACGATACGTATCGCAAGATCCTCGCGTGGAGGGAGACGCTGCAGTTTCCGGACGACATCCATCTGTCGCCCGAGGCGGAGGATATGATTCGGCGGCTGATCACCGCGCCGGAGAACCGGCTGGGCAGGAATTCGGCGAGCGAGATCAAGCAGCACGCGTTCTTTGCCGGAGTGGACTGGGCGACGATTAGGCAGATTGACGCGCCGTTTATTCCGCAGCTCAAGTCGGTGACGGATACGAGCTACTTTCCCACCGAGGACTACCAGGATGTGCCCGAGACTCCGCAGGGCGCAGATGTGGGCGTGGGCTCCAAGGATCTCGCCTTTCTCGGGTACACGTACCGCAGGTACGAGAGCAACGAGACCGTGCTCTAGCCCAGCAGAGGCGCAGTTTTGTTTTTTGCTGCAATGCATGCATTCCTTTCAACAGCACAGCGAGCGGGCAAGCGGGCGAGGGTGGCGAGACGAGCAGGGTGTGCGTGTGTGCGTGTGTGCGTGTGCACTTGGTCCGAGGGGCTTGGTTGCTGCGCACCACCAAATGCGGCGATCGCAACTCGACAGTGTCGTGCGCCATGATCCGGCTTTGGTTGGCCGAAGGCCGCGTGGGCCAACTCGGTGTACGCTCCACCTCGAGCCGCGTTGGATGCCACGCGACGCTCAACCGCCCTCCAGTGGCGTAACCACCATCTGTGCTGAGACGCCTTGGATGCTTTGCTCATCGCTCACTGGCCCGCTTGGGCAACGCGCACATGGCATGCACGAACAAGAGCGGTGGAACGAAAGCGGTGGAAGTGTAGAAATTGCGAAAATGGAATGCAGGGCTGAGGGAAGAGCGTCCTATAGAAAGGTCCATGCTGAAGATATTTGGAGGATGCATCGCGTGTGGAGGGACAATCCAAGATTCCAGACGAGCTGGTTGGGTGCAGGGGCAAGAAAGAGGGGCTATCGCAGTGACAGAGCGATGGTAGCAATGATCGCCGCCGCGGCATGGGCAGTGGTGAGCGTCCAACGCGTCGCTCCACTCGTCGCGCCACTCGACCCACTCGAACCAGCTGCACCTCTTGAGCCAGTCGAGCCACTCGAGCCACTCGAGCCAGTCGAGCCAGAACTTCCTCGCGAACCGCCCGTGGCTGCCTGGTTGGTGGCGCTCTTCATGCCAGCGGCATAGTCGCTGAGCACCATCTCGGCGCCGATCTCGGCGAGGCCGTAGGTGACACTCATCAGATGGGCCGAGAAGCTGACGGGCGGGACGGCAGCGTCAATGACACGCAGATTGCGCGTGCCGTACACCTTGAGCCTGGCATCCACCACGCCGCCCAGCTGGCGCGGAAGCATGGAACACGTGCTGCTCGGATGGTACTCGGTGCCCACCGTGCGGCGGATCCACTCGTCCCACTGCCCATCCGTCTCCACCGCCGAACCGGGCGCAGTCTCGGCCGAGGTGAAATCAGCCAAAGGCGAAGTAGATCCGAGGCGACGCGCGAGCTTGAAGCCTTGCCGCAAGATGGTCATGTCCACATCGTTGCTCAGGTATCCAGGGTCGATGCGTGGCGGCGTAAAGGCGTCCGTCGAGGTGACGGTGATGCTGCCGCGCGAAAGCGGATGCTGCAATGCAGCCTGCACCTGCACCCCACCAAAGCTCAGTGCAAACAGCAACTCGATAGGACCAATCGACGTCGGGAAGAGCGTCTCGACCTGCGTGGTGTAGGTGGCATTGTACCCTGCCTTGACCGCGGCAGGTGCATCGTACGCCTCCACGCTCGCCGCGCGATTCTGCCTCATCTGGTCGATCAGCGAAGACCACTGCTGCTCGCTGAACAGCGTCGAACCGCGCACGTACGCGATCGCGCTATTGACGTACGAATCCGTCGCCGCATCGCCCGTGATCCGAGTGGGCGGCATGGTCGCACCGCTCGAAGGACTAAAGACGACACCCGTGGACAGGTGGTCTTGCAGGTGGTACCCGACGCCGGCCAGATCCACCACCTGCTCGACGCCCACGCGGTCGAGCAGCGCAGCGTCGCCGATACCGCTGAGCTGGAGGATCTGCGGATCGTTGACCGCGCCGCCGCACAGCACCACCTCCTTGCGCGCATAGACGGTGGACACGGCCGCCCCGCGCGATGCAGCGAACTGCACACCCGACGCCACCGCCTCGTCGGTCTGGGTCGAGTTGAACACCACGCGTGTCACCGTGTGCCCCGTCAGCACCGAGAGGTTGGGTCGGGCAGCCACGGGGTCGAGATAGGCGGTGCGCGAGAAGCTGCGCGTCGCATTGGCCGGGTTGATGTTGGACATGGCGAGGAAGACGCCCGTGTTGTTTCCTGCGTTGGGATCCGAAGAGGCTGGAATGCCGACATTGGTGGCCGACTCGATAAACGCGCCTACCTCGGGGTACGTTTGGAGCGGGTACGAGACGTGCAGCGGGCCGTCAGTGCCGTGGCTGGCGGGGTTGTAGCCGACATTGACGGTGCGTGTGGTGGCGGCGTTGGGCGCGGTGAAGGATTCGCTCTTCTTCATGGCGGCGAACATTTGGTCCCAGTTCCAGGCATCGTCGGCGATGAGGTCGGACCAGGCGTTTTGCTCCGTATCCGACGGACGCACGTAGTACAGGCCGTTGATCGCACTGCTTCCGCCGAGCACTTTGCCCCGGGGCCAGGGCGCGGACCTGCCGGCGAGACCGGACTGCGGCGTGGTCTGCCACTGCCAGTCGTACTGCGTGCCGACGGACGAGTCGTACAGGTTCGCGGCGGGCACGCTGAACTTGGCCGCGTCCGCATAGCCGGACGCGCCCGCCTCGATCACCGCCACGCTGATGTTGGGATTCGCCGAGAGCCGGTTGGCGACAACGAGGCCTGCCAGTCCACCGCCCACGATGACATAGTCGTATGTGTTGCCCGAGAGCGCACCGGCGTCCGTGGTGACGCTGCGCCGGAAGAGCGAGTAGTCGACGGGCGACGGTGCAGCTGCGCACGCCGCAGCGAGCGACAACAGCAACACCAACTTCATCCTTACGCAAACAACAGTGGGGGGAAACGGAAGCGGGAATGAGGTCTAGGAGAGCCACGGATGATGAACAAGGCCGGGAAGCAAGGTTGGCGGGACCGCCAGCGCGATATATGCTCGAGCGGCCTGCGCAAACACGGGCTGTGCACGCCAAAGCTTCTTGGCGTATTATTTTGGCCCCTGAAGCTTGATTGGCGAGGCTTTGGCGAGGGGCAGCAAGCGATGCACAAGCAGCCATGTCGTCGTACTTCCGATCCCACCCCCGTGACACCGCTGTGCATCATGCGATCACAATGCTCAGCAGCGGATCGGCATGCAGCTCGGCGAATTTGTGCCAAGCCGCTTGGGCCCAGCTCCCCCTGGAAGCGCCTCTGGAAGGGTCCAGGCCAGGCGCCAAACTAGGATGCGCCAAGACAAAATCCAAAACGAGCAAATGCTCAGCCGCTGCCCTGGCGTTGCTCGGCGTGTTTATTTTTCTATATCCAACCGAAACTCTCCGAGGTTCGGCGCGCGACTTCCGAACTCCCGCACGACTGGATGACTGGATGACTGGGACTCGGAATCAAGCTGGCATTGCATGCTGCCTAAAAGTCGTAGCCCGCCACCTTGAAGGCAGTGGCATAGGCAAAGTAGTTCTGCATCAGCTTGAGGATCGGCTGCGGCGGGCTCATCGAGACCAGCGTATACGACACCTTGGCCAGCCCCTCGGTGCGGATCAACTTGAAGAGCGACGTGGCCACGGCACCGGGGAAGCTGCCCTCCATGTACCAGCGGTGGTGGTAGGCCGTGAGGCGGATGGCAGTCCACAGGCTACGCTGCACATCGCGCGCCTCGGTGTACATCTCGAGCAGGCGCAGATACGCCTTGGCCGAGAACTTGACGTCCACGCACCGCTGGAACGCCTCGCGCGCCTCGTCGGCGTGCAGCAGCCGCAGCGCCAGCTCGCCCAGGATCTCCCACTCGGTGCCCGTCTTGCGGTAGGCGAGGTTCTGCGTGCGAAAGTGCGCGATCTCGGCGCGCCAGATCGTGTAGACGCGCAGATCCTCGTACAGCACCATAAACAGATTGTCCAGCCACCGCTCGCATAGCCGCTTGTCCCGGAACGAGAAGCCGGTGTTCTTCTCCTTCTGCCGCGCCTCGGCCATCGCGATCGACGCATCGTGCTCGCCGTTGACGATCGCCATGCGTCGACCGCCATTGGCATCCGACGCTCCCGAGACG